TTTGATGTTACATATATATTTAGGATGTGAGAATTATGCTATTTGAATGGTGGAATTGAATGAAAACTTGTGATTGGATGATGTCCTTATTCTAAAAACAAGGTGATTTTGATAACTTAAAGGCACAAATAGGTTTAGGGTTATATAGTTTAATACGTATCAAGTGTTTGATCAAATGTCTTAGAGCAATTTAATAAGTCAATTGAATGAAATGATAGTTGTCCTTTTGTTTGGCCTAATTCGACCAAGCATAAGAACAAAGGACAAGAGAAGTTAATGTTAGGAAAAGGTTTAATATGAGATTTAGAGGTATAAATGGTATGAAAAAAGGATCATGTTCATGTGAAAAACGATCTGTCTATGATGCTTGTTATGGTTAGCCATGATATGATGTTTATCATGTTCCTTGATTGTATATGATATATTTTAATGTTGCATGCATACTTGATTGTTTAGAACGAGTAATTGATTTATTATGCTTATACATATTTTTGAGGATGTAATGGTATACATGTTAAGGTTATGTTTATTGCAATGCATTTTATTAAATGCATATGCTCATGAAAAGGAAAAAAGAAAAGGAAAAGGTTTTCAAAGGAAATGACTTGGTACCTTCTTAAGAAATGGACATGCATTGCATGTTGAGGTTATAGGAAAAGGATGACCTTTTCTTTCTTAAGGGTTTATGTGAAATAAAGGGTGACCTTTCTTGATGTTTATGGGAAAAGAACGATCCTTTCTTTCTTAAGGATTTACAGGAAAGGAAGGGTGATTTCTCTTAAGGAGTATAGGAGAGGATCGATCACCTTCTCTTGAGAATATGGAGACACTTTGTGTGTTGAGGATTATGGGAAGGTACCTAGTGTTTTTTGTGATTTTCACTTTTCACAAAGGGTCGATTATATACATAATATGTAGGGTATGCTTAAAGAGGAAAATGAACTTAAAAAAGACATGAAAATTTTTTATAAAAGTTGTATCACATGCATTACTCGTATTGTAAGAATTATACTTACCGAGCATTTTTTTGCTCACTGTTGTTCTTTATGATGTAGGAGACGATAAAGATAAATGAAGAGTCACAACCAAGACAAATAAGGGACATGCCCTCCTGTGTGCTTAGGATAAAAGAGTATGAGAACTTCATTTAGCTTACTTGATTTTGGTTATATATAGCAAGTTAAGCAAATTTTTGGTATGTATGTAAATTAATCAAATAATGTCCTGAAATAAAGAATGATATGGTTAGATTTTATGTTTATATGTTATGTTAATCTTTGTTAGTCTTAAGCCTTGGCTATTTAATATGGCTAAGATGATGTATTTAATTGGTTATAAGAAGGAAATGAAAGTAATATATAATGGAATAATGAATTAAGAACTAAATAAGGAAAGTTAAAAAGGAGACATTCTAGATTAAGTAGAACCAAAATTCCATGATTTGAAAGGCTAAATCATTAGTAAAGATCTAAATGAAATTAGTGAAGACTTCATTAAATCTAAGAAAAAATTATACCTAAGATATGTACAAGTGGACCGAGCATCTCATACTCATTAGGGAATAAATTTTAAGAATTTCCCAATTTGCTAATGAACTAGGAATGATAAGAGAGGAGGCTTCTTGGCTTGCATTCATTGCACTTCAAAGTAAGTCAATATCGATAATATCCACGTATCTAAGTCCTAGGTTGGGAGTGTTACAAGCTAGCTCCTTTTTTTATGGTGAAGAAATGAAAATAAACCAATAAAAATCAATAGATCAAGGACCTTGTAGAGGTGATTGGTTATTTTAATTTCTATGTGGTTATCATTATGTGATTATGGTCTTTACATATGTGATTTGCTTATATTTTTGCACTTGACATCATTATTTGGTGTGATGTCGGTTTAAATCGATTAGATAGATAGGTTCGGGACACGATACCTATTTGATTCCAATGACAAGGTTTTCTATATTTTTTATATTTATTATCCTTATTTTTATTTTATTTTTATGCTGCCACTAATTTGCTTCCAGCAGATTAGTTCGAATTAGGATACTAAGCCTTGAGCATTGCTTCATTATTTTTAAATGCCATAGCTAGTTGATATGGCCTATGTATGTTTTATTTGGAATTTTCTATTATGGATTTGCAATTTTATTATTATGGTATGGCATCTTAAGCCTAAAGTTCAGATTTTTTTTTTTATTATTGGATACGGGTATCTAATCTATAAATGAGCTTTAATTCCTAACTTCTACGCTTTTAATTGGTTTTCAATAGGCTTATGACAATTGAAGTATGGCAAGAGACTAAACCTTTTTTCAATCTATAAATCACTTCATTTAGGATTTATTAGAAAAATGCAAAATAATCAACTCATAAATCACATTCTATATATAACATTTAAGTAATTTGAAGTATATAATTCACTTAAATCAAATTAGTTTGTTAAGTCATCAAAATTATAGTTAATAATCATTTGGGCTAATAGAATACCTCACGTATCTTTGTTACTTACAACAATTAGGATTTTTCTTATCCTTGTGAGGCTAAAGTTTCTTCATCCATAGGAGGCTAACGACTTGGTCAGCTACCCAACTATCTAACGAGCATAGACTATATACATGGTGTAAAGAAAAGGCGATGATGGGTTTACTTTCCAGAAGCGGTTGTTTTAATTTTCATTTCTCTTGTTCTTTTATTTTGTTGCTCATCCCGCTGAACGAAATTTGCTAAAAGACCTCTATTAATACCACTAATAACAAGGGTGAAATCATTTCTTCTAGAAATGACAATAGAAGCAACTAGTCGAGCGAGCACTTTCCACTAAGATAGAAAAGGTGATTAAACCTAAGTTCACTAAGTGTATCTTATACTCGTTATACATGCCTTAAGTACATAACTTAATAGTTTTATTCTCATCAAAGCTCTTCTTGATATCTAGGGTACAATCTTAGAATTGTTCAATGTATTCCAAGCAAACCATTTTTGAAACCTTAGCATTCTCTCCCTAAGACAAATACCGACACTTTTTCATGGGTAAAGAAAAATTTAATAGGGAATGATTTGCGAGATACTTGTCCTTGTCTCGCACAAAGTCGGGGGTCAAACTCATATACCAAGTGTATGCCTTCTCAATCAAAGACTTAGAAAGTTTTTTACATCATTATCTAAGCCATACAAGCATAGGGTCTCCACAAACGTCATGGGATGCTTCTTGTCATTGCCTTGCTTTTTATTAAAAACATTAAATTTAGGACTAATATAGTCCTTTAGGTATAGGCTCATAGTAATGTAGGTTGGATAAGAAAATTTGAGATCAAAATTATAGTACATTTTGCCAACTTTCATTCAAAAAATTTCTTAAGTCCTCTTTAGTAAGATAGTGATGTTACTCATTAGAAGCATTAGCATAATGACATGGCTAATGATCAAGCACGACTACGCAAAGGGATTTTAGTAGTCGGATGGAATCTTTATCATTCATTTAAACATATGGTATCATATTGTCCTCTACATAAATGTTTGGTTAAATCACCATTTGAGGAATGGTTATCTAAGGCAATCTAGTCGGGGAAATGATAGAGTAATATTGTTGAGAGTTTGGACAAATACGGTATAATTGTCCTAAAGCATCTTAAAGACTTACGAGTTGGTCTTGATATAGCTAAACTTGAGCATCTTGGAAGATTTTTGGTATATCAGTCATGACTTAAAGACCTAGTTATATCAATAGTGATAAGGACATGAGTAGTTGGTCAAGTTAGGTTACCTCCTAAAAGTATTAGGAAACCGCCATTGCTAACCTAAACACATAGGCATTATTATCACCTTCATCATTGAGAAAGTTGATGTTCTAGATATTATTATTGGGATCGGGTCATTGTTGTGCATGAATGTGTTGGTCATAGGATTGATTTTTTTTTTTTTAAAGTTTAGAAAGGGGTCATTGTTCATTCATAATCACTAACTCCCTAATGGAGTTATGAAAATATTTGGAGAGATTCTTGAGAACACCTCAATGATAGATCCATATACTAATCAAAGTACTAAGAGTTAGTGTTGTGACTTGTAAAAGCAATGATGCACCAACCAAGTAGAAGAGGATATAAGTAGTAAGACATGTGAGTGAAAGAGCAAGCAATAGTAGCAAGACACAAGTCAAATAGCAAGTGGGTGAGTGGTCAAAGTAAAAATAGCTAAAGCTTTAAGAGTTGTGTTTTGAAAGTTAAAAACTTTGAGAGAGGCTCGTTTAGCAAAATATGAGCAAAAGTTGAAATCCCTTTGCAATTGATATAGGGTTGGTATTTATAGTGAAACGAGGATAATCCTTGATTGTTATGATCATACCATATTATGTAGAATTGGGTGATAAAATGTAAGCTAGATAAAAGTAAATTAGTTTTTTTTTTTTTTTTGAACTATATTGTTTCAAATTACTAGTAAAAGTTAAGAAAGTGATAATTAAACCTTCTTTTAATGGACTATTCTTTAAATCTACCAAACTAATCTTTCTAATGTATCCTAAAGACAAGACATGAATACTAGCCCTATCAAAATACCCACGTTAGTTAATTTTTTATGTACAACTCCAACATGTTTACTTGTTTTTTAAAGGGAAAAAAAAGGCAAAAGATCTTTCCTTGCCGTGGAAAAATAAATTATAAATTAGTTTCTCTAATTTTGAGAAATGAATTAATTATTTTTTTAAATTATTTAGTTTTTATATTTTTAAATTTTCTCGTAACTTAATCGTTCTTGTTCCTGTTCAATTTATTTTGATTTTTAAAAAAAAATAGAAAAATAAAAAAATAAAAAAAATATATGAAATGATCGATGAGAAAACAAGTTAAGTTTTTAAATAAAATACTATTAAATTAAACGTTATCAATACTGCTTAACTAAATAATTTTGAAACAAAAAGGATTAATTAATTTATTCTTCAAAACTAGTGAGACTAATTTATAATTTACTCTGCCATGGACAGTTATCATGTAGAGACAAATTCCAAGTAATTTATCCAGGTGTAGTATAATTTGTAAGAGCTGCATAAACTATTCCGTCTTGGAGCCGAATCACGAATAAATAGCTACCAAGCCCATGTGATAACAGCGAATCCAGTGAAAGGAACTTTAGGTCCCCCACAAGGGGTGCTTGTTTCTTGGGTAGCAACTTCATCCAATGCCACCCCACATTCCTACGAAAGCCCACCTTTAGATAGGGTGGGCTCAAGTTTACGAGCCTTTGCAACCGCACATGTGGAGGAATTACACTGGCTGCTAATTTAGCTTGACCAAAAAGTCATTTCATGAGCTATAATGAATCATTTTGTCGCCTAAAAATCATATTAAAAAATAAAAAAATCAAGATTATTAAATAGATAAAGATATAATGATATGTTGGGTTAAATATAATGGACTATATAATATAAAAACTCATTATATTTGTTCGTTTGATTTGTGTAATTTTTAAAATTATAATGTAATTGATCATCATAATTATAATGACTTGTTATATGAAAAGCATTACATCAAAATATATGTTGTACCATTACATGAAGAGTAATCTTAGAAAAATCTGATTGCAAATTATATATACACAAAGATTGAATTATAAATTTTGTAAAGTACAAGGATTAAAAAAATTAAGCAAAGACCAATTTATAAATCTAAATAAAATATAGGGAATTACATACATGAAACTTAATGAATGCTTCCATTATATTTATTAAAATTTTTGCAATCAAACAAAGAAATAATGGACTGTCACATTATATGTTTCTTTATATAATACATTTGATTAGATTGTACTCCATTATATCCAAAGTAAGCGTAAATAAATTGAGATAAAGAAGAGGGAAAGAAGCTAAATATGTCGATATCAAATTAAGCGTTTAGAGTCAAGAATTTTATCCAAACGGAGGGGCCAAGATGTCACATTGAACCTACAATCAAAATTAGATAACATGAGGATTGAGTGAAGCCAAAGATTGTTAGAATTAGATAGCACAATTGGGATTGAGTGGAGCCAAAGATGGGTTCAATTTAACAACCAGCACTTGATAATATCAACATGTTTAGTTCGTTAAGAGGGGACTGAAGAGGCCCTTTATTTTGCCCCTTTATTAAAGTCAATGGCAGCTTTGGTATCACCGTCTACCAAGCATGAGTAACTACGAACATTATTTCCCTAGTATTGGATTAAATGATGTGGGCAAGCCTAGCACATGATAGGCTTTTACCGAGACGGTCTGGCTTCTGCTATTATTATAAAGTTTTATGCATTTAGTGACTCGATGTACAAAAGGCTTTCATTTTTTCTACATGGTAATTGAAAATCAAGTTGGAATCAAACTATTCTGATCCACTAGTCAATTGACATCATTCTTACTAGCAAAATGCAAGAAAAAATTGCCATTCCGGGAGTCAAAGTCAGTTTAGAGTGATTATTGGTTACAATGCAACGTGTGCGAATTACCTTTGAGGAAAAAGACCTCACATTTTTTTCAAAATTGTTTTCGAATGTGTCTGTCTCAATTAGAGTCTTAGTCTTGAGAGTTTCCCATCAGCCAGCTCTTTTAAGTTTTTTTAATGAGATAAAAGGTTTTTTTTAGTATTCAACATTTGATTTTTTTTTTTTTCTGTTTTTGTGATCGTCCGTTTCTCATTATTTGATATCAAAACTTTGATTTTTTTCTTTTTTTATCCTAAAATCACATGAGACGTAATTTTATTGATGTTTCCAATAGAAGCTACCAAATAGCTTTTTTAGTATTACATGATAGTCAACTTCAGACATGTTAGTAATTTTTTACATTTGTGTGATTGTAGGAGCTTAAATAGAAAAATAAAATCAAAATTTAAGTACTGAAACAGAAAAAAATAAAAAAAATAGGTACTAAAATAGAAAAAAAAATCAATTGTTAGGTATTCAAAAATGTTCTTTTCTCAAGAAATTTGTTTTAGTTTTCTCACACTAAATGTCTCTCATATTCTTTTACTCTCGTTTCTTTCTTTTCTTATAAATAGATTTCATGTATTTTTTTTGCTTCGTTAATTTTTATATAAATATATGATCTCTCAAAACTTCTTTTTAGTTATTGAGTCATATAATTATAAATCTCAAAAACATCAAGAGTTACATACATACTTATCTTCTTATTATTATGTTAATTATACAAATAATATTAACAATGTATTCACTTTTTAGATAATAAATTAAAGGCAAAGCAAGCAAACAGCTTAAAAAAAAAGATTTAAAGTTATGAATTGGACATATGATAACATTATGATATTTAGTCTAAATATATATAATGTTCAAGTAAGATTAAATTCAAAAAATTAAAAGATATATGAGGTTCAATTTTAATTTTCATAACTGTTGATATATATATATATATATATATATAAAGAAAGGAGGAGACATTTGGTGTCAGAAAAGTAGAATAAATTTCTTGAAAAAATGGCATTTCTAGTACACAATCATTTTTTTTATTTTTAATGCCTAATCTTTATTTTTTTTTAGTACTTAAGTTTTGATTTATTTTTTTATATTTAAGTGTCCATAGTTATCCGAGAGTGAAAATTACTCATACCTGGAGTTGATTATCACTTGACATTTTTTTACTACTATCAAGTGATAATACATTCCAGACACATCAATAATTTTCATTCTCAAATAACATTAAAAATACTGTGGTATTTCTTACTAAATACGTTAGCAAAATTATGTCTTAAGCGATTTTAAGTACACAAAGAAAATCAAAAATTAAGTAATCAGTAATGAGAAATCAACATCTGAATACCAGAATAGAAAAAAATAATAAATTAGACAAAAAAAACATTTCTCTCTCTTTTTTTCCCCCTCCTGCCTTCATTCTGATAGAACTTAGAAGTGACAATTAAAAATGCGAGTTTGAAAAGTGTGAAAAATTGCTTGGTGACAAGCAAAAGAGAAAAATGGCCAAGTGTTCCTAATCTAAACCGATTACTCCAGTCAGGATTGTTCCCATCAAGATGGAGGTTTCAGGATTTCCATAAATTTATGGATCTGGCGGTTGTGATGATGGGCGGAAAATTCTTTGGACTGAAGATTAGAGATTTCTAGTAATGGTATCACGTGCAAGCAGCAAGCATCAAAAATTGACCATGAAGCACATTCACCTAGGAAAATATGTGAAATATATCGAGATTAAAAACCCAGGAAAAAAAAAAAAGAGAAGAGAAAGTTATGACTACTGAAAAGACAGTGTTGAAGGGCACGCCAGACTACAGAATCGTCCCCCTTTCTACCCTCCTCCTGAAGTAACGTTTTTAGGGCTTTATACGTGGTTCAACAAGGACTAAAAAATGAGAACCAAATCTTGAAACTACCGTCCACTTTGTCGGCCTTTCTCATTCTTTTTATTAATTCTCGCGTGCCACCTAATAGAAACACACCCTCTATTTTTTCTTGGTTTAAAGTAGAAACGAGACACAGTACCTAGATTTTATTTTTAATGGGCCCTACAAGGACCATAGTTTGTGGTGCCTGTCTTGACCGTAGCTTGTCTCTCCATAACTTTCACATCAATTAAATTACTTCTTAAATAAATGGGCAAGAAATTATAAAAGATAAGCAATTTGGTCAATTTCAAGTGGCACTGAGGAGATAACTTTAAAGATTTTCAGCAGATAAGGACGGGTTTCTATCTATTCACAACATCCACGTCAACTATCTAAATCTTATTGGACACGACCCGATATGATTCTTTAGGAAAGTATAGAAGATAATGCAAATGGCACTAATTAATCAAAGCAAATTGATGTTGCTTTTATTTTGTCAAATAATAATGTTGGAAAACCATAATAATAAACTTGGACATTGTGAGTTCTCTAAAAGCGTGAAAGATAGTATACTGAATTGAAAGCAGCAGAGCATCATACACAGAAGATGGGGGGATCGAACAAAGACGAGGTGACAAACCATTGATTAGCACGAAAGAAACTCGAATTAGCCACAAAAAAAAAAATGAAACAACATTCTCGTCTCCTCCACCTTCTCACAAGTTGCAAGATCATCAAAACAAAGATTATATGGATCAAGCATGAAGACAAACCATAACTTTTGTCGACAAAAAACATGAATTTCTAGTTACTCAAACAAGCCTTCTTTGGTTTTGTTTCGGGCGCACAACAAAGAACTTCTCCCCACAAACAGAAAACTCTTATCATCATCATTCTACTTACCACGCCAATACATGGTGGAGAAATTTTGGAGCACTTTGGTCTGGACACCAACAATTCTAACACAAAAATTGGAAATATAAGGAAACAAGAAATTTTAACTTAACTGAATACAACATCACATTACATTGATTAGAATAATAAACATAAGGTACCTTCCTTACAAAGATAAAATTATATCCGAGAAAATTAGACCAAATGATAATTCAAATACAAAATTCATAAACAGATTAATTAACAACCCGCTACCCATTCTCCGGCAGCCCCTAAGAAATCCTTCATTTTCTTCTGTACAAGAAAAAGTTTGCATTTTTTTTGGTTCTCCTCTCAAATGCGACAAAACAGAGAGACTATTGAGATCTCTCTCCCCCCATCTACAACTTCATATTTACACCGAATCATCATCATCTTCGTATTCACACAAGTCAGAAGAATCGATAGGCCACCGAATTTGATTAAAACCCATAAACAAAATTAACAAAAAATGGTAAACGTCACTTCAACTTCCTCACTTTACCAACTCGGAAACCCACCCAACATCTGGACCTGATACACCTGAGTCAACTCGATCACGGTCCACTGAGTTCTCTTTACTGAGCTTTGCATATATCTTTGCCCTTAAATCTCTCCCAGACTCCACCCTCTCCATTGCAGGCTCTTCCTCACAAATACCATCTCCTCCCCAGATATCTAACTGACCAAGTCCAGACCGAGTTGCCATTGTTCTAGTAGGAGTTGACGGCAGGCTACAAAACCCGGGTCGAAGGGATGACCCACGGGGCGACCCGAACCTAGAGCCAGATTGGACTCCCCAAGAACCAACAGGAGACCCCATTTTCATCTTCCCAAGCTGCAATCCCCGCATAGAAGCAAGAAGCTCACTCATGGAATTAAACGAGCCCGATCCAGCCCCGCCTCCAATAACCTGTGGACTAACTGGAGACAGTGGTGGGGAATCAGATGGTGGGGAAACTGGCGGCGAAGTCAAAATCGAAGTTGGAGATGAAACAAAAGACCCAGCTTTAGCCATATAAGAGTCAAAAGCATGCATAACCGGGGACCCAAAATCAAATTCCCCCGACCCAAAACCAGACCCGGATCCAGATCCATTTCCTTTAGGACTATGCTGAGGGAGAAATCTAAGCTGTTCCGGAGTGTGAGCGAAAAAACAAACCCTGCGGCGACAAGCCGGACCATCCTTACACGGCTGAGTCCGATAACGGGCAGGATGCAGCCAGCACTCAAAGACACCGTGAGCAAACTCACAAGAGTCCCCTTTCTTGCAACCACCTTTACGAAACTCCGGGCAGGCCGTTCCAGAGTAATGATATCTTCGTGGGTCCCTTCGCCTAGCCTTCTCTCCAGGATGTGCGTACGGACACTCAGTCCAATCATGTGAACGACCACGTGCACACCTTCTCACTTTGAACTCGTACATACGAAAGTGATCGCATGAGAATGCGTCCACTGGTAAGTCTAGCTCGTCTTCGAAAGAGGGGTCTGGTTCATTTGACGGAAGGTAACGGTGGAGCGCCGTCAAGGAGTCTAGGGCGTTGAAGTTGGTGAATGGAGATGAAGGGATGGGTGACGGTGAGGGTGATGTTGCTGCTTGGTCGTCGTATGGGTCCCATTGAGGAATTTGGACGGTGGGATTTGAACGGTGATGAGGAGGTTCTCCGATCATCATCATGGTTTGGACATTATTTGCGGTGATGGTAGTGAGTGTGAGAATGATGAGTTAAGAGCATGGTTATCGAGGATTATAAACTGCTTGGTTTAACTATGGTTGGGTCAAATTAACTATGGTTAAGTACTGATAGATCAGAAAATCTACCGTCCTGGTATTTTTTAAACTGTTTGTTACAATGCAGGGACTAGATTTGAATATTATGAAATGTTTGATGTGAGTGCTTGTGGTCACGGCGATTTTTCCACCGTTGATGTTAATGGTACTTGGTGGGTCCTTCACTGATGATTTGTTGTTTAGTGACTGTCGTGGAAGAGATGCTACAGTCTTGTTATTTTATCAATTGCTCGTTGTTTGTCGAAACTGACTGCTTATTGCTTTGGAACCGCTGGATATTTTGAGGTAAGTTGTTACGTATCGCAGGTAAATCGGTGTACATCTCGTGACTGTGGGACCAACTAGTTTTTAAGTCAACAAAAATTAAAAATGCTATTCTCTGTCCTAAAATATCGTATTTATATATAATCTAAAATATTTATTTGATAAAATTTTTAAATAACGTATTTTTCTAAAATAATTTTAAATTAAATTTCTTCTATTTCTTTTTGTCCTTTATTAGTAAAAAATAAATATTTATTTTTTTATATATAAATACCTTCAATATAACAATTTCAAAAAAAATTATTACATGTAAAATATTAACTTTTATAAAAAATTTACTGCATGCTGAAATTTTAAAAATAAAATATTACAAATAGGTATATTATTTTTTATAATTATTTTAAATTTTATTATTAATTAATTTAATTTTTTATTTATCATTTTAATTTGAGATAAATTTTATTTTTAAATTAATATTAATTTTATGTAATGTAAGATAAAATTTGATAATTAATAATTTTAAAAAAATATGAAAAAAAATATTAATATTATATAATGATTAATAATTTTTAAAAAATATATAAAAAATCATTTTTTTAGATATATAAAAAGTGCTCTGTAGATGAAATTTTTATGACAGAGAATAATATATCATCATAAATTTAATATTTTATCGTTTTTATTTGAGTGTATAAATTTTTTTTTATTTAAGTGATTCTCGATAATGATTATTAATTATTGATATGATATTATCTTGTGAATTTTTTTTCATACAGTACATAAAATGAAAGTAAAAAAAATAATAATAATAAATAATAAAACACCAAAACAAATGTTGATAAGGTACAAATAGAAAACGAAAAGTCTCATTAATTAAGTAGTAAAAGAGACAAAAACGAACAGATTTTTCATCTCTTTACAAATTTGGTAAGATGGGTTATTAAGCGCATGCTTAACATGCGGAACGCCATAACTAGCTACCATCTAACAAGAAAATAGCTACTAGCTGGAGATAGGAGAAAGGGAGAGGGAATTTGAGGCGACGGTGGTTATGGAGCTGTTGTTGTGGTCTTTTATGGAGAGAAGGATGGTCTGCGGTAACTACAATTTTTGCTACGGTTTGAACGACGATAGGGCTTGAAAGAGCGTGGATGGTTATGATGTTATTGGAATGGCGGTGGAGAGAGAGAGAGACAGAGATGGGGAAAAAATTCTAATGGTGGGAAGAAGATATCGATTTTTCGGATTTTGATTCTCTCTTAAGTACAAGTTAGCATGGGGAAAAAAGATAAAAGATCTATTTCTCTTTTTTTGTTTTTTTAATCTCATAATATTCGAATTCAATACAATTTATTTAAATAATTACATCTTTTAGTTAAAATTAACATTTTTTAAATAAAAATGTATTTTTCATCGCAATTATTACTTTCCATTTGTATTTATCTAAAATTTATTTTTTAATTTACTTATTGTTATTATTATTTAGGTTTTTTTTATATGCATCACAGGATTAATTTATAAGATAATGTTACAGTAGTAGTTAACAACTACATCGAAGACAACAAACATAATTATTCAAATTAAATATATATATATATATCGATTGGGATATTTAAATAAAAAAATTTACACTCTTAGATAATAAAAAAAATTAAAAAGTTAAACATTAATATATAATAAACTTCAATGGCAATCGTCACTCATGCAGGCTTATGGAAATTGAATAAAAAATTGTTGAATATTTTTTTCATAGTCGAAAGACCTTTGGAACAAAATTTGAAGCACTATGGAACAAATCTAATCGTCTCGAGCATGGAATTTGGGAGGTGATTTCCACTCTAGAATGTTTCAACGTTAGTTATATGTCATTGTTATTGAAGTCTAAATCTACATCCTCGAAAATTTTCCATGGCTGTCCTCGTCCTTACTATAGCTTGTTTTTTTCAATAAATCATCCTATCCAAAAATTTAGAGTTTAAACATTGAATATGTTTTTTTTTATTTGATGATAATGAATATTTTAAAGTGAATTTATGTGTTAACAGAAATTATTCTTTTCTCCAATCAATAATAAAAATATATCTTTATACTAATTTAATATATATTAAAAATAATATAAATTATATATTGAGACCTTACTTAAAAGCTTAAAATTTTAGATTAAAATAATTTTTTAACATAGTATAAAAACTTTAATGACAAAACAATTAGGAATTTGAATTTAAATTTTATCATCTTTATTTTTTAATTAAATAAAAAATTAAACGCAAAATAACGTGAACCATACAAGCTCAAGTTTAACAAAATTTCATGAAGTATATTAGAGAATAATATGAATTATATTTTAGAATTTCATATAATAATTTAACATTTTAAATTGAAATAATTTTTGACACTAAATTTAAAATAATTTAATTATTATTTTGGATGCTATCTCAACATTTTAGCCCATAAAATATATATATATATATATATATATATGCATCCCTTTAACTACCATAAAAATCCCTTAAAAAAGATACACTTTATTTCATTTTATTCGGGTAATTGAGTTAGCTAGATGAGGAGATTAATAGCTAATCCAATTGCGGTTATAACCCATGCTATATGTCTATACAAAAAGTCAAATGGCGAGTGGGGATGGCAATGAGGCGGAGCCGGGATTGCCATCCCCATCGCCGCCCGCCCTCTTAAAAATTCCCCATCCCGGCCCCGTGCCCCGAACGTGGCGGAATTTGTCATCCCATTCCCGATCCAAACGGGGACGGGGATCCCCGTGGGGCAAACGGGGCCCCGTTTTACTATTTGTGTTTGTCCCGCCTTACCCCATTTTGCCTCGTTTTGACAGATTTTATAATGAGCATACACAATTTGCATAATTTTGTTTCCCAAACAAGAGATCAAATCACTAGAACTCAAAGAGAAACAATGAAAAAACATGTTTCAAGCACATACTTAATTATCACAAATTACAATACAATTCATAATATATTAAATCATTTTCAACCGAATAAATAACATACTTAATTAAATTGATAAAATATCACAAATACAACTAAAGAAACAAATCTTTGCATGTTACTACTCAAAGATCGTTAAGACTCACTCATTACATTGGAGTTCAACATAATCGTCGATTACCGTAGATCCTACATTTATTAAAATTAAAAGTGAATTAGTCATTATAAAAATTTTTAATGTTGTCATTTAAACTTTGACATATTATTTTGTACCTTCATCTTCTTCTGGATACTCCTCATGCATAGTACAATAACCATCCGAAACAAATGAAGTTCCACCTAGAAATAAATATAATAAACATAATTAAGATATATAAAATTTTTAAGAAATTAATAAAAAAATCAAATTCATATGTAGAGTTTTAGTGCATTATTTTTATTTTCAGTCGTCCACAACCAATTTTGAGCACACATTAATGCTTCTATCGTCTTTGGATGAAGTCTACTTCGATGTGGACTTACTAGCTTGTCGTCGCACTAAAAACTAATTCCGAAGCAACGGTTGACATAGGGATTGTCAACACATCCTTAGCAATTGCCATCAAAGTAGGGTACTTCACTCCATCTACTTTCCACCATAGTAAAATATCAAAATCTTTGGTTCTTGGAATAACACCCTCATCTAAGTAGTAGTCTAGCTCTGTCTTGAAAAAAGTAACCTTGGCCTTTTTTCTTAAAACATACAAGTCAAACTCGGATTCCATATCATCATAAACTCGTTGAAGAATTAGCCACAACAGAGCTACCACATCATACATCCACATTCCTATTTTCTTGATACTCGACTAGCAAACCATAAAAAAGTTTTCTTATATTCTTAATCCGAACCATAGCCTAACTACCATAAACTTTTCGAAATAAAACTCCAATGAATCCATTTTATACCTAGGATCTAAAACTGCAGCCTACTCTCATTATTTCATGAATCACACTCCAATACTTATTGAACTTGATTAACATACTTTTTGCCATTTCACTAGCCATTTGATTTGGACAAGTGAGCCATTGAGTCAATGCAACCTTAATTTCACAAATTTTAGTGAAAAACATATTTGGCGTAGGGTATCAAGTTCCCGAAAACAATTCGAGTAACACTATAAAAGATCTTTAATCTCCCACACATTTCCTTTGTGAATTCTCAATCGCTATCAATAGGCGCAACCTTATAATAAGGTTCACGATGCTTCAACCTAGAGAAACAATCCTTATATAATAAAGCAACTTCAAGCATCAAATAAGTAGAATTCCATCTAGTTAGATAATCTAAAACCAATTTCTTCGTGATAGGAATGAGAAGAAAGTTAGCAGACTTCCTCAAACTTTTCAATTCTTTTAGGAGTTGCTCGTCCAAAATGCTACACTATCTCTAATTCGTTTAACCTCATCTTTAATGACATCTAACCCATCTTTCACTATTAAGTTAATGATATGAGCATAACACCGCATATGCAATAAAAAACCAGAATTCAACAAATCTTTAGATTGTAATTTGTCCCTCACATACTCAACCATGGAATCATTAGTGAAACAATTATCTAATATAATAGTGGATAATTTTCCTTCAACATTCCAATCCATCAAAAAATCAACCAAAGC